GACTTTGCTTCTAAAATTTCACATTGTCTCATTAAAATAAGTCCAAATCGAGCAAGTTTGCAATTTAAATATTGAACCTGCGAGTGCATGTACTAACCATGGACAAAATTGCCAAAGATGTTTCGATTATGTTCCTTAGTCATCTTATGATTAATACAAGTTGTCGACATAATTCATTGATAGAATATTAGAATTAATTTTGTTTCAGTGTACGTGGCCAGTGAGAGCTGCACGTCATCTTCCGGCGCATGTAAGGCAACAATGTGTGTCAACTCTACCGTGCATTGCGTCGACAATCTGTGTACATGCTTAACAGTACATTCACGTAAGAACATATGACTGTATAACATAACATTGCTTTACTTTTGACTAAGGATAGTTGTGCCTTTTTCTAACATTTGACCTTTTGTCTGACGCGACTATGATTCATGTGCGAGATTTATTGCGTTAGCATGAGCGTTTAAATATATATGTATAATAAACGTTATACACTTGCACGTCTTAAAAGGAAGGAATCTGTACAATTTTTTCAATTATTGGTTATTTATAAAAATGTAAAAACTGATAAAAATATCATTGAACGGGATTTATGTCGCAACATCACTCAAGAGGTCAACTAGTGATTTTCAATCTTTACTGGTAGAGGAAGACCTCAATTGCCCATCGTGTCAAACAGGCACCTTAGTAGAACCATAAACGTTCTGTGAGCTAGCTGGATATCTTCCTGACTTGAAATATTCCAAAGTTCAAGGGCGGGATCCGCACCCAAAGCGGTGACGGGTTAACTGTCCTTAACCAATCGGCCCACTTAAGATATTACAATGCCCGTTGTTACCATTTGATGTTCCAAAATTGTTACAGTTTAAAGCACTTTCCATTTATAATGGAAAATACAATTTTGAGAGTAAATTCTTACAAATCAATAATATGCCCTCATTACTAGTATATCAGATATGTTACCACGGTAACGTGTATTACCAAGATTAAATCAGGAACCATGTTATTTAGCAGGACAAAATGAGTTTGTTTTAGCGTATCAAAGTCTGGCAACAAAATCTTGGGTTGCCAGTTTTGTCTAATAGCTAATAGAACTCTAAAACTCTAATTATTTCAGAAATGGTCAGAATGTTCCCCTTACACAAAACTTATAGGCCGAATAATGATCTTACGGGTAAATTGCCCATATTAATTTCCGGTAATTACAACTGAATGATGCATTTATTCAAAAACAACAAATTTTATTTATAGATCAAAAATGCGCACTTAAAACCGATTGCTCTGCCACGGCTGGAGGAGACCACAACCGCCATTGCCGCCTGGACGCCTCTGGACAACCTATTTTTCACTGCATAGATGGAGAATGCCATTGTGAACATGGCCATCATGGTGGTCCTTGAATGAAATAATGTTTGTTTTGTTTGGTGTAATTTTGATATAAAAATGTATAAATATCATTGTTATATTCCGTCATTGCTAATCTACGGACTTGTCCAGTCAATGCTAAAGAATAGACATGTTCAGTTGTCCCTAGAGGACATGCATGTCCAGTCATTCCTAAAGGAATGTATAGTTGCTGTGAAAAAGCAGACGTATCCAGTCACTGCTAATAGAAAGATATGTTAAATGTTTACTACGAGGGGAAGACAGAGAATCTCCGGACTTTTGACTCGTTCTCGAAAACCATTCAACATTTAAAAAAAAATCTTTCTACTCTTTTTAAAAATATTCTCCACCTACGTCTACGCACTTTTGCCATCTTCGTGGGAGCTTTTGTATTCTCGCTGTGAACCATGACGTAGACCTATGATTTAGGTACTGTTTAACAGCAGATATCAAAGCCGCCCTGGTCTTATATTTCTTTCCAGCAAGCAATTTTTTCAGTTCTGGAAACAAGGGGGCAAGGTCTGGGCTATAAGGAGGGTGAGACAACAATTGCCATTTGTAAGAGTTGATAACCTCCACTGTAGCTGCGGCGGTATGGGAGGGGGCGTTATCGTGAAGGAGGACATTTTTCTGTGCTAACCTGGGATGCATTTGCTTCAGCTTTTCTCTAAGATTTTTCAGAATTACTTCAGAATAGTACTTGGCGGTGACAGTTTGACCTTTTGGCATGAATGAGTAAGTATCTTTCCTCGTGAATCCCAAAAGGCAACAAACATAACTTTGCCAGCCGAAGGAGACAGCTTAAACTTTTTAGGAGGTAGTGAACCAGCTGGTTTACACTGCTTTGACTAAGATTTTGTCTCAGGTTCAGAATAAAGAACCCACATCTCATCTCCAGTGATAATGCGGTTCAAAATCTTATCTCCTTCACGATTAAAACGACTTAAATGTTCTTTTGCATTGGTTACTGTGGTTGCCTTTTGATCTGCGGACAGCTGTCTAGGCACCCACCTGGCACTTAACTTGCTCATGCCTAGGTGTTCGTGTAAAATCTTGTGTGCCGATGCCTTACCGATGCTAAACTTGTTGGCTACCTCCTCCAAAGTTACTCGACGATTTTTGTTGACAAAAGCTTTAACATTTGCTACCATTGTTGGGGTCACCGCCTCAGCTGACCGCCCAGTCCTAGGCCTGTCACAAACACTTGTTCTGCTTTCACGAAACTGAGAAACCCAGTCGTAGAAGGTTGAACGTGATACACATTTATCAGAAAATCTTTTTTTAAGGCTCTGAAAGATGTGGCACGGCTTTTCACCTTCTGCAACCAGAAACTTTATTACAGGGCGTTGTTCCTCCAACAAAGAGTCCATGATAGACGAAACACCTATCATATATACTGTGTATGCACAACTATCATTTAAAATACACTGACCAATTTATTGGCGAATGAATGTAGTTTTCACCAATATATGAGCCGTGTCACGACAAAACCAACATAGTGCGTGTGACCAGCATGGATCCAGACCAGCCTGCGATTCCGCACAGTCTGATCAGGATCCATGCTGTTCGCTATCAGTTTCTCTACTTGAAATACAGTTGGTAAGCGAACAGCATGGATCCTGATCAGACTGCGCGGAAGCGCAGGCTGGTCTGGATTCATGCTGGTCGCAAACCCATTATGTGGGTTTTGTCGTGACACGGCTCATATAATGTGTGTATATAGCTGCACGTGGAAAGAGAGGAGCATGAAAAGTCCGGATATTTTCTGACCGTTCCTAGTAAAACAAAGATGTATTCAGTCAGTGCTAAGGGACAGATAAGTCCAGTCATTGCTTAAAGACATACATGTTCAGTTGTTGCTAAATGAACACATGTACAGTCACTGCTTAAAGACATACATTTTCGGTTATTGCTTAATGAACTCATGTACAGTCATTGCTTAGGACAGACATGTTCTGTTACTGCTATAGGATAAACATGATCAGCTGTTACTAAAGGACAGACATGTTCAGTTGTTACTAAAGGACACGCGTGTTCAGTTGAAACTAAAGGACAGACATGTTCAGATGTTGCTAAAGAACTATATGTTCAGTTGTTACCAAAGGACAGACAGGTTCAATTGTTGCTAAAGAATAGACATGTCCAGTTGATACTAAAGGACAGACATGTCCAGGAGTTACTAAAGGACAGACATGTCCAGTTGTTACTAAAGGACAGACATGTCCAGTTTTTGCTAAAGGACAGACATGTCCAGGAGTTACTAAAGGACAGACATGTCCAGTTGTTACTAAAGGACAGACATGTCCAGTTGTTACTAAAGGACAGACATGTCCAGTTGTTACTAAAGGACAGACATGTCCAGTTTTTGCTAAAGGACAGACATGTCCAGGAGTTACTTAAGGACAGACATGTCCAGTTGTTACTAAAGGACAGACATGTCCAGTTGTTACTAAAGGACATACATGTCCAGTTGTTGCTAAAGGACAGACATATCCAGGACTTACTAAAGGACAGACATGTCCAGGAGTTACTAAAGGACAGACATGTTCAATTGTTGCTAAAGGACAGACATGTCCAGTTGTTACTAAAGGACAGACATGTCCAGGAGTTACTAAAGGACAGACATGCCCAGTTATAAAGGACAGACATGTCCAGTTTTTGCTAAAGGACAGACATATCCAGTCATTACTTAAAGAAAACTAAAACTGTGTCCAAAGGACACGGATGCCCCCACTGACAACATATATATGGTAAAAAGTGAAAAAATCAACAAAGGGCCATAATTCTGTTAAATTTGGTTGCAGCAAAATTCCTTCCTTAACTGCCATCTACACATTAAGGTTGTTCATCCCTGCAAGTTTAAGCAAAATCTGCCATCCGGTTTAAGAGGAGTTGCGTTCACAAAATTTCTATATGGTATATACTGAAAAAATCAACAAAGGGCCATAATTCTGATAAATTTGGTCGCAGCAAAAATTCCTTCCTTTACTACCATCTACACATTAAGGTTGTTCATCCCTGCAAGTTTAAGCAAAATCTGCCATCCGGTTTAAGAGGAGTTGCATTCACAAAATTTCTGCATAGTATATAGTGAAAAAAAAAACAAAGGGCCATAATTCTGTTAAATTTGGTCACAGCGAAAATCCCTTCCTTTACTACCATCTACACATTAAGGTTGTTCATCCCTGGAAGTTTAAGCAAAATCTGACATCTTGTTTAAGAGGAGTTGCGTTCACAAGATTTCGGGACGTACGGACGGACGGACAAGTGCAACGCTATATGCACCCCACTTTGTGGGGGCATAAAGACATGTTTATTTGTAGCTAAAGGACAAATATGTTCAGTTTTTGCTAAAAGATAAACATGTCCAGTTGTTGCTAAGTAACAGACATGTCAAGTTGTTGCTAAAGAACAAATATGTACAGTTGTGGAGAATTGTATCAATTGATATGCTCGACAGTTGTTTGGAATATTTTTCAATGGTGTTAATAATCAACATGTTACATTTGATGATAAGCACAGATATGTTTAAAGATCTCCAAGGACAGAAACCTCCCATTATTCTGTTCATTAACATTTTATGCCTTGTTCAGAGCAGCCATAGTTAAAACAAACAATGAACATTTAAATTTCTTTATTTTTTAACTAAAATAAATTATGGAATGCAGGAATATTCTTAATAAGAACAAAATATAACATTAACAATGGATAACAGCTACATGTATAGCAGGAACATAAACATGTGAATCTAGTATAGAAATGTCAAATGCTGGGCTGGGTTTAAGGTCATTGCAAACACTGTAAGTGACATATGAGCCACGTCACGACAAATCCAACATAATGGGTTTGCAACCAGCATGGATCCAGACCAGCCTGCGCATCTGCGCAGTCTGATCAGGATCCATGCTGTTCCCTAACACCCCCTATAGCAAATAGAGAAACTGATAGCAAACAGCATCAGCCTGCGCGGATGTGCAGGCTGGTCTGGATCCATGCTGGTCTCAAACCCATTATGTTGGTTTTGTCATGATGCGGCTCATATGTTGTTGGTAGAAGATGCCCTTAGATGTAATAACAGACACCCGAGTGGAAAACTCTGACAACAAGCTTGATGCCAAACAGATATTGAAATAATTCAAAACCTCTTGCAGAACACAAACCAATCATGTCACATATGCACCATGAATAGCGCATTTTATGTCAAAAATCAACTATAAACAACACAAAATCATGCAATACAATACAAACATACTGGATAACACACAATCATGTCACACAAATATAGTGGATGTTTAAAGGCACATTATGGCTCATAAACAAAACACATTTTTACTTTTTTCGAAAGGATAAGCATAAAGTTTATAACACTTACTAACTGGCTTTAAACCATGTTAGATGTTTGGTATCTGAAGAAAGTACCACTAAATGTAAAAATAGTTGTCATAAAAGTAGCAAAATGTAGTAGTATTTTGACTTCTATACAAAATACTGAATAGCTACAATTGTCTTAATTGCTAAAAAGCTGCTGAAGAAAAAAATGGTTCAGATATTTTGCTGATGAGTACATATCATTTTGTAAACTGTAAAAGAACAACGAAAAGAGAAGAAAGGTTTTGAAAAATAAAATACATGTAAAGCATTTCTGGGGCATAATGGGCCTTTAATACAGACTCTTTACTTATGTATAGGCATTAAAAAGACATAAATAAATAGATTAAAAAAAGTACAGACAAAAAAATGACCTTTAATGACTTAAGACTATTGCCTAGTATATGACAAGCATAGCTACACTAAAATTAAAGAGGAAAAATTAAAAAAAAAAAAAAAAAAAAAAAAAAAAAAAAAAAAAAGAAAACAGTAACACAAACCTTGTGCCTTGTAAAGGCATAAAAGAAAACAAATTTAAGTTGATATACCTTATTTGTTATTTACAGAGCTAATATGTTGCATCGATAAGAAATTATTGAACTATTTCAACAGCTTGCCTAAAGATAATGTAAATTTCAAAAGTAAATTTAATGCCAAGTGCACAAATAGAGTGATTAGATCAGCTTTATATGCTTGTTACCTACAAAATCACCCCACGCAAGTCAAAATATGCCAAAAAAGTTGCCCTTATTCTTTAAATATGGTAAAAATATTAGGAATAAGACAGTAAAATTCAGTTTATTTGTCTGTTTTTATGCTGATTTTAACCAATTTTTGTAATATTGAATTATTGGCAGTCAGTCTGCCTAACTGGCTTTCTGGATAACTAACCAGAAATTGCCAATTTCTTTGCAAGTTTCGACCTACAGATGTATTTAACCCTTATGACTTTCCCAATCAAAATTGGGAAAGAACAATTAGACTCAATATCCAAAAATCAATTGTCGTAGAGAAGTTTTGCCTAGGTCAAAAGACGAAAAGACATGTATAGTAGTTTGTACAATAATTATAAATTTCTTTGTATTCTTTTCAAGATATTATTAAGTTTCAGTTTAAGAAAATCGGTTTCCTTAGCAAGTGGTTAACAACTTTAAATTTGGTTTTACAGTTAACAGTTTATATTTTCTTTCATATCAAGTTAACAGTTTATATTTTCTTTCATATCAGGCTGGCGTTTCCGTTAGTTTTACCCATGCGGGAAATTTTATCTGGCATGAGGGTTTCAGATGAGTCGCGTACTGTACAATGGCATGCTTAGAATGATCTAATTTTACTGTTATGAATAAAGTTGTAACTTCATATGCTGTTGTAAGAAAATAGTACGGTTGTAAACAGTGATGATTTAAATTTCCCTTAAAATCAAGATAAGAATTTAAAATATGATGAAATATGGGAGAATATGCAAGAAAAAATATCTGACATGTGTTTGCGTTTTATATCAGAATATCCGTCCCTCTGCAAGTCTCGGGTCCGAATATGTGGGTCCCCTCTGGTCCAAACCACAACATATGACAGATGTTTTTAATCTATTTAAATGTATGTTCAGACTTTCATTCTTACATTTAGAAAATGATTCCCAACACTGGGGGAAATGTTGTAAAAAGTCAAAATAAGTAGTTTTAAAGTAACTAACAGAAACAGCTAAAAATAAAACACATAATAATTATTTAAAAGATGGCATTTATTGATGATAGTCTTTGTTTTCATAAATATTTTCAAATTACAAATGTATTCTCTTTTGAATGAAAATACTTTTTTCCACAGAAAATCAACAAAAAGATTTCATGCTGACTGACTGATAAATTGGGAATGTTAAGAATGCCAATTGGGGAAAATCATGTTTTGGCATAAGGAATGCCTTCATTGCTTGGAAGTATAATGATACGGTAATAATAAAAATTCCTGGTGTTGTAAACTAAAACTAATTTTGGCACTCTAATACAGAGAATTTAAATTAAGACGATAAAATACTATATAATTATGCTAAGGTAAGGTACAAGGAAATGTTTTGTTCTATATTTAGACTTATAATATAATAAAACTGTAACTTGAGCATAACACATCCTGAGACAGAAAACATGTGTACTGTAAATTCAAAAATTTTCACGAGGGATTTAACTTTGCTATTTTCTTAAATTAAGATTTTTGGAATCAAATATTCTCTTATTTGTTTTAATACATAAATTAAACAAAAGTGAATGTAAAAATTTGTGAATATTAATAAGTAGGAATTCGTGAATATTAAACATTAGAAATTCATGAATATTAAGAGGAAAAACTTCATGAATATTAAACAGTATAAATTCATGAATATTAAATACATGTAGTAGAAATTCATGAATATTAAACAGCAGAAATTCATAAATATTAAAAAGGAGAAATTCATGAATATTAAATAGTAGAAATTCATGAATATTAAACCTCCTCCCAATTTAGTCTGAAATATGATTTTGTGAATTTTTGGTCCTGTGAAAATATTTGATTTTACAGTAGCATATTGCACATGGTAAATAAACATTTGTTCATAATATCAGAAAAAATCTTCATATCATTTAAAAAAAAATCTTTTATGTAGAACCACCAACGGCTGGCTGGCTGGATAGCTTCCTCACATGACTATTGGATATTCAATGTTTTTTTTGTTCTGATATCATTTATAAACATGTTCTTGTTTCTGATACAATGTATAACATTTTGTGCATATTTATTTTGTAATACTGCATGTTTGTAAAGTATTTAACTATAAACCTGCTGACCAGGACTGAACCTACCCTGGCTACCAGTGCAGACCAAGATCAGCCAGCACACTGGAGCCGTCTGATCATGGTCTGCTCTGTTCACTATTCAGTTGCAACTATTGGCATCTTCCCTAAAAATGATGAATGGTTGAACACCACATTTAAAAGATGGACAAGTCCATTTGAAAAATTTAGCATAGCTGTTTACCCTTTAAATGTATCATGTCCTATCATCATATTATGAATATTCAAATTTAGTTATTGGCACTATTTAATCACTACATCAAGACTAGTTGATCTTCAATCTTCCTTCCTTCAATTTATTTATCAAAAGTCCAGGTAGTAATGCAACCATGGCAATACCAAATAATTTCAATGTGGTTTCCTTTGTGAAGATGCCATCAAGGGAGGTAATTTCTGACAGCATACTTCCTGTCTGAACACATATAAAATTGTAAGGCATCAAACCTGAAATGAGAAATCAAAGTTAACACAACTTATATAAATGAAATTTTACAAATCATCTAAAACAGAGAACGTGCAGTAACCAGGAAAATGTGTTTGGTGCCCATAAAAGCACAGTACTTTAAAGCATGGCAACTTCACAACTATTATTTGCCAAGGTCATAAAACCTAAAACATGATGACTCAGTATCATGACCTTTTTGTATCATATCCATCAACTGTCATGAATGAGTAAGACTAAAAAAAAGTGTTGGAGTTCCACACTAAATATTGTATTCCGGTATATACCGGGCAAGGCGCTTGAATGATTAAATACTAAAATCTCGCCTTTTCACTTAAATGCACTGTAAGATGTCTAATTCATCTGTTCACACTAATATACACTATATACAATAATGAATGAAAAATGTAAGTATCTGTGAAAAAGCCATATTTTTCTACTGTGTGATCATAATTTCTGCAAGCGTTAAGAGCTCCAACAGTGTAGTAAGTAAATCGTGTCATCAATACTTGTAGAATATTAAAAGTAGCAAACTTTTACAGAAAAAAATTTGCGTTGTAAAGTTTTAAATCAATCCAGCATGTATGTTGTTATGCAAGCTGGAAGTTATTATGGTGATTGTATATACTCTTAAAACACACAGACCCTAAGAGCCATGGAAAAATCATGTTTAATATATGGCAAAGAAAAGGAGCCTCTTTGGCTGATTGGGTAATGCCATCAAACTTTAAATCACTTGCCCACCGCCATTGTCTGTAGTGTTTTTGGATTCTTTCATGTGCAGTAGTTTAGTCCAGATGATTCATCAAAGGTTGGTGGTTGTATTAAGGTGCCTGTCAATGCCTAGAATAATGCACATAGAGGTGCCTGAGATCATCCTGCATTAGTAAAGCTGGAAAGTCACTGTGTGATCTCTAAATTGTCAGTGTGACTTAAAGGGATACTCAGGCAAAATAATGACAAAAATATATAAAATGATTTTCTGTATTCAAATCAGCCTAAAATGACATTTCTTAAAGTCCCAGCATGAATTTCTGCATAAATTCTTTATATATTTAAGGTTTGAAGTTTAAATATGTCTATATATGTTGATCGAAAATTTGACACCAACAGAATCACCAAATAAATTAAAAACAAGTCCTGCGATTTGAACAAACCCTGGAAGTTACAATAACAGGTATTGTGGATATTGTATGATTGAAACAAGTCTAAGTAATTGATTTGACATGTTTTTAACGTTTCCAGAGTACACAGTGACAAATATTGTGAAATTTTAGCGCTCTAACCTGACCCACGCGGGTCAAGTTAGGAAAACACTATTTTATTCTTTATATGGAGAAAAGTTTTGATCTTTTGACTGTTTAGTGTATTCATTCTGAGGACATTTACAGAATAATGAAGGAAAATTTCAAAACTAAGAAATGAAAATTTTGCCTGTGTCTCCCTTTAATAACAGATATAACAAACAGACAAGGTAAAAAAATTGTTGTTATCATCTTATATCTTATGTCAGAGTATGGAATTTTGTGGTTTTGTCACAAAAACATTTCTGTGAGTTCTTAAATTTGTGGACTGTTTATTTTTCTAAAAGATAAAATGTAAAAATAATGTAATCTGAAAAATAATCTTACAGCAGCCAAAATAGATTTTGTTAGATCTTTGATTCCTGGATTGACCTATCCCCAAAAACTAAGACAATCAGTTTCCCATGAATAAAAATGACTTTGCAGTACCTATTAACAACTCTGCTAATAACCACTATTTTGACAATAATGACAGTCTAGCTAACACATTTGTTTGATTAATTTTAAAGCTTTATTAACACTGTAAAGATAATATTATGACCTTCAAGCTTTGCTGGTAGAGGAAGACCTACGTTGCCCCTCTATGTAATATTTCAGGAAAAAGCAGGTACCAGATCAGAACAATTAAATGATTAGTAACTGTAAGCTAGCAGGATAGCTTCTTTACATGAAAGAATAATATGAGCCGTGTCATGACAAAACCTACATAATGGGTTTGCGACCATCCGCACAGTCTGATCAGGATCCATGCTGTTCGCTATCAGTTTCTTTACTTGTTATAGGGTTTGTTAGCAAATAGCATGGATCCTGATCAGACTGTGTGGATGCCCAGGCTGGTCTGGATCCGTGCTGGTCGCAAACCCATTATGTTGGTTTTGTCATGGCGCGGCTCATATAAAGTCTCTCGCTAATATTAAACCCACAGTGGTAATAGTCAAGTGGTTTGAAGTCAAAAGACAAAAGACCTTAACCATTCAAACATGAAGGCCGCCTAGCAAAAAACTAGAACATTACAGGAATCTTACCTATAAGAACTGATAAGAAGAACAAATGTACTGGGACATCAAGTATAGGGGACGCCATATTCAAGAACCAATTTGGTGACATCGGGAATAGCCTTAGAAACAACAGGAAGAAAAACAAACTATCCATATTGTCTGTGACCTAAATAAAATAAAGAAATAATAATCATACTGATAATACAGCAAGTATAAGAGTGGTGAAAAGCTTTCATAAACTTAGATAAAATTGGTTCATACTTTTTTGTTCAAAGTGAAATTGTTTTAAAGCTTGTTTGTTGAAGAAAGGGGTAAAAGACTTGCATGAATTGCATGAAGAAAGAAAAGTTGTGTAAAAGATGTTAAAAACAAAGCAAAAAGGATATTATCTTCTACTTGACAGGGGACAATATTGCATATTATAAGTTTTTTGTATTACTTATCAGTTTATTTTTTTACCAAAAAAAGAGAGAGAAGTTTTCTTAGCATTGAACAGCTGCTGATATGATTAATTACATGCATGTGTATGCAGTATTTTATTTTTCTACTCTGCAACATAACTTGCAATCTGTCATGCCTGCAACACAGTATGATATAAGTTTCAATTGTAAGTGATATAAGAGATATGTTTGTTTGTTTTTTTCTGGATTTTACCTCGATTTTAGATTTGTTTATTTGTTTTTCTGGATTTTACCTTGATTTCTACATGTTTTACTTTGGTCATACATGTATGTCAGCAAGAGAGATCAACCTAACCAGCCTTCCTGGATAAATAAACCAGTTACAATAACCAATTTCTAAGCAAGTGACAGACTACTAATCCCACATGATTTCTGAATCAGTGGTGAGTCATATGACCATTAGACTCTATGTCCAAGATCAATTATCCCAGCAAAAATACCACTCATCTGAGCATCACATTCCTGGATTACTAAGTCGATTTTTCTCCTCACTGAGATAAGAGGGCAGACAAAAAAATAAAAGTAAACAGCTATGAATTCCCAATTACAATTAGAAAACAACATCTGAATAATAATTATTGCTTTAATCATTATGTTTAAAAAAAAGAAATAAGATCTTATACCTTTTTCTGCATAAACTGTACTTTCTCAGGAAAGAATCTTTCGATGTGTGACTTGCCAAAGAATTGTGACAAAAGATAACAGCAGGTGGCGCCACATGCTGTCAGTAAGCTCGCTAGTGGAAATGCTCTCCATGTTCCAAAAAGGGCACCTCCTAAAACATTCTGAAAATATGGCAAATATGATCTATTTCACTGGATACTCAGAACTCTTAGATGAATATTATCCTATGTTAAATACTAACTTTCACACAAAATCCAAGGACTGTAGGACATATTTATTGTTCTTTAGTTGTTATTTCAACTTTCTTTTAGTCATCAAGGCTGCAGTGACCTTGAACTTTTGACCTCATGGACAAAGTCCAATTGCCTACAGCCTTGTACTTTTCCATGTCTTTAATAAGTTTCACATAACAAAATTCACCAAACAAACATTGACAAATAACCAAGGATTTATTAATCAATAATTCATTTATTATAAATAAATTGATTAATTTTATTTATTACATTATGCACATCAAAGTACATCTAGGCAACAATATTGAAGTAAAGACAAATTTATACCCAACCTCTCAAAGCAATCAATGATAATATATAGGTTTTATATATCAAACACATAAATTCCAAAACAGGTGTTTTAGGTCAAAACAGTGTGCAATAATCTAATAGAACTACAAGGGAAGTAATTCAGTTAATTCTATTTTAAATCTTTGCCAGAGTAATAGTTCTTGGTATGTAATATGAAAATGAGACTCACCATAAAGAATGATCCAGGGATAGCAAATGTCTGTTTGAAGAGATAGGCACTACAGAATAACAACATCACATACTGCATGTTATCTGATTTATAATCCTTCAACAAAGATGCCAGTGCTGTCAGATCATCGAAATTCCTCGGAAACTTCAAAGCTGACCTGTACAAGAATAATAAAAAAGATGTACATGCATTACAATAGAGTGAAATAGAATCTCTAACGAAAATCAGAATAGCCAAATTGAAAATGTTGCAGGCTCGGCTTGATTCAGATTGAGCCTGTTCATGGATTGAGCCTGTTCACTGGAGAGTGCAAGTTACCCTCCACGCCCCCTAGCAACGGCCCAAGCAGTGCCCAACAAGCCCTGCGCTTACCATCCTAAAAAACCTTAAAATACTAAGATATATAGCCTTTTCTAAAACTGGATAAAACAAATTTCCATTTTTAATAAAATAATTGAAAGTTTTAGTACTGACTGAATAAATGAGCAATGCAGATCATGATCGTGCGAAAGTTGCTAGCTGTAAATTCTACAGTAGCTAGTGACTTCCCTTGTTGTAAAAATGTAACTACACTGTCTTCTTTATAATGACAACCTTTCAAAAATGTCAACTTAATTGTAATAAAAGTAAAATAAAGTAACTTTGTTCAAAAGAAAATCATAATTTTAAGAAGATTCCCTATGAGAACCAAATGTTCTGGACTGCTCTATTTTTCATACAGGGTAACCATTATTAAAACCTGTTATCCAGATAAATTTATGAAATGGATTTGTCTTGCTTTGAATTTGGAACAGTCTATTTAAATTTTCAAGGATTTCAATATCAAAGTACAAAAATTGAGTGACCAACGACAGAGAGTGAGCTAGTCTGACTGTATACTGTTGGCAAATGACCCATTATCATTTAAGGTTCCTGTAGTTCATGGGTTTGATTCTTACAATATGAAAGAACATCTGAGCCGCGTGACATGACAAAACCAGCATAGTGGGTTTGTGTACAGCGGATGCGCAGGCTGGTCTGGATACATGCTGGTCGAAAACCCATTATGTTGGTTTTGTTGTGACGCAGCTCATATGTTATTTACAATTTACAACAAGAGTGCAATCTTGGCCCTACATGGCTCACCTGAGATCCATTGATTCTATGAGTTATAACTCTTCATGAAGATGTAGCTCAATGGGTCATATTGGTAGGGGCCATGCAGAACATGGCAAAAAGTCACAGACAAAATAATTAACATGCAATCAATGGAGTATGACACTTAGTATGGTCATCTTTATCTACAAGAATGCATCTTTTTATGCTTGATTCATGTCAAAAACCATGAATTATACAGGCCATGGTGTATTGCTTATAATTACATGAGTTATTTGTCCATTGTATTTCTTGCCAAATTTCTATACTTTCTAAAAACAGTCTGAAGAATAAATGCGCCCAAAAACATTTAATGGCTAGAATTTAGAATCTGTCCACAGCTTTTTTTAACAATCTGATTTTACCCAATATTATATCTTCCTTAATATTTATGTTTCTCTATAAGATAATTGAGATTATTGCTTGAGTAAGGAGTTAGGGTAAGTACAATAGGTTTATAGTATTAGGGGGTTATGGGTTAAAGTTAGGATGTTAAAAACTTTAATTTTGCTGCAGACAGATTCTAAAAGTGCTCCCGCCTATTTAACAAGAAGACTTTGATGAAATGATTTACAAACTTACCTATCTGAGCCTGTGTGTTCTGGTAGATTGATTGATAATACATACAGCCATATTGCTGATATCAGAAATGCTACTGGTACCCATAAAATTGATCCCATTCTTCTTATCTAGAAATATGAATCATTAAAATACAAATTAGGCAATTGGCTATTTTCAACTTTAAGGATATTTGACATGCTATACATGATCTAGTAAAAAGAGCTGTCTGTTTGACAACATGCTCATCTATGTTTAGTACACGGCAGTAAGAAAAGGGGGATAACTCTGTAAAAAGGTAACTCAGAGTTATTGGACCTTTGCCCATCTACATGTATGTGCTTAAATGTTTCTCAATCATATTTATCACTTACCTATGACACTTTTTCAAAGAACGTTATTGCATAGCCATCAGTCAACATACATAAATTTTGCCACAATATTGTCTGCGTTATACAAATAAAGCTTTTTTTCTTTTGCCACAATATTGTCTGCGTTATACAAATAAAGCTTTTTTTCTTCTGTCTATTGTGGTATACACTATGATACAGACTGGCCCAAAGGGACCAGGCACAGTGTTGGGATAGTGTAAAAAAGTAATTCTAGAAAAAAAATTATACTTTATATATAATAGTCTATATATTATATATAAAATATATATTTTTTTTAAAAATTACTTTTTTACACTATCCCAACACTGTGCTGGGTCCCTGTGGACTGGCCACCTAGTCTTTCATTGAAAGACATCGCATTTTCCTCTTTTTTTTTTAAATTGAAAAATCATTTCTGTAATTTCTAGGTCTGGAAACATGTGAACTTAAGCTACAATAAACAACATATATTTTGTTTATCATTTATATTTGCATGTTCTGGTTCGAACTGATTTGGGAACGAATATTTATAAAATGTATACATTGCTCTGGCACCCGAGAGTTCAATCAAAATCAAACACAACTTTATCTATCATGAAGTTTCAGAATAAAAACAAGTACATGACTTAAGAATAAAAAAACAACAACAAAAAACAATACATCTAATAACAAAGACCTTCGTTTCGAAAAAAAAGACCGATGTAGATCGTTGTGCAGTTATTTTTACGTATCACGTGATAAAATTCTCCTTTTAGAAGAGCATTTTGTATGGGCCTACTAATCAACGGTCTCCGGTCTTAAACGGTCCCCAGTCTCCAAAGTTGGTGTCGACAGATATATAAACACTTATATTTAGCTCCATGATTTTAGTAATTCAAATTTTTATGCATATTCCGTTGTTATTTAGGTATATATATATTGTAAAATTATCTATATCAAATCAATTAATTGCCATAGTGAAATACAAATGTAAAATGACATATATGCCCCCTTTCTAGCCCTGACTCATACTATTGGTAATTTTGTCGTAGAAACCTGCTATAAATGGGTACATGGATGTGTTCAGTTATGGAAAAAATAATGACCAATATATGACCTGAAACTGAATAAAAGCTATCATTAATAAGTTATACAAGTTAGAGGGTAGCTGGAATAAAATATACATTATTATATAAATGTAGCCATTGTGACATATAAGGCCACTGTGACCTTGACCTTTGACCCCAAACTCAATAGGGGTCATCTACTAGTTATGGCCAATCAATATGTGAAATATTAAAAGTTTATGATAAATAGTTTTTAAGATAATGAGCCAAAACCATTCTGACATTTAAGGCCCCTGTGACCTTGACCTTTGACCTAAAAAAACAACAGGGGCCATCTACTAGTTATGACCAATTAGTATGTGAAATATGAAGAATTTAATTGTGATAAATAGTTTTCAAGATAATCACCAGAAACCATTCCAACATTTAAGGCAACTGTGACCTTGACCTTTGACCTAGTGGCCCAAAATCAATAAGGGTCATCTACTAGCTATGACCACTCAGTATGTGAAATATGAAGACTTTGTTTTTTATAGTTTTCAAAATAATCTGTGGAAACCATTTTGACATTTAAGGCAAATGTGACCTTGAACTTTGACCTAGTGACCCCAAAATCAATAGGCATCATCTAAGAGTAATGACCAATCAGTATGTCATTTATGAAAACTTTGCGATTAATAGTTTTCAAGATAATCAGTGGAAACCATTTTCATATTTAAGGCTCCTGTTGCCTTGACCTTTCACCTAATGACTCCAAAAAATAGGGGTCATCTACTTGTTATGACCAATCAGTATGTGAAATATGAAGACTTTGCGTTGAATAGTTTACAAGATTATCAGCTAAAAACCATTCTGACATTTAATGCCACTTTGACTTTGATCTTTGGCCTAGTGACCCCAAAATCAAAAGGGGTCATTTGCTAGTTATGACCAAGCAGTATGTGAAATATCAAATATGAAACTTTGCGATGAATAGTTTTCAAGATAATCAGCAGAAACCATGTGGTCTACAGACGGACAGACTGACCAACCAATAGACAGACCAACGGACATTAGCAGAACAATATATCCCCTATTTTTCGAAGGGGGGCATAAAAATTTAACAATTATAGCATATGTTTAGTATTCTTCCACATGATACAAACAGTTATACAGCAGACACGAAATGTAGACGTTTTACCACATGATCTTTATGTGTGACCTTATCTTGGGGGTAGCAACCCAAAAATTGCGTTCTGCACATTGCCTCATAATGGTGATCACTTGTGCCCAGTTATTTAAAAAAAATTCAGCAGTTTAAAAATTATGGAGCGGAGGGGAAAGTGTTACAGATGGACGCAATTCCTCTTATCCCCTCCGAGCTTTGTTGAAGGGGATTAATAAACATCCAGGTTTTGACTTGAGTGATCTTTTGTCCAAGTATATATCAAATTTATAATTAAACTAGAAGGGTTTTTGTCTCCCAAAACTATGGATGGTCACTCATGTGAAGTTTCATTGAAATCCCACCAGTAGCTTGACCTATGAAAGGCGGACAAGATTTTTCTATTTATAGCTCTGACGGCCATTTTGTGCAGCAAAGCGAAACGTGCCGGTATTATGCATAACTAAGGATGGTACTGATCACTCCTGTAAAGTTTGGTTGAAATCCCACCAGTAGTTCGACCTATGAAGGCCGGACAAGATTTTTCTATTTTTAGCTCTGGCGGTCATTTTGTGCAGCAAAGCGCAACATGCCGGTATTGTGCACAACTAGTGATGGTACTGATCACTCCTGTAAAGTTTGGTTGAAATCCCACCAGAAGTTTGACCTGTGAAGGCCGGACAAGATTTTTCTATTTTTATCTCTGGTGGCCATTTTGTGCAGCAAAACAGAATGTGCCAGTAATGTGCACAACTAGGGATGGTACTGATCACTCCTCTTAAGTTTGGTTGAAATCCCACCAGTAGTTTGACCTGTGAAGGCTGGACAAGATTTCTCTAGTTTTAGCTCTGGCGGCTATTTTGTGCAACGAAGCAGAACGTGCTGGTATTGTGCACAACTAGGGAGGTACTGATCACTCCCTGTAAAGTTTGGTTGAACTCCCTTAAGTAGTTTGACCTGTGACGGGCGGACAAGCTAAATGCGGACGGATAAACGACCGGACGGACAGACGACGAAGGCAAAAACAAAGTTATGGCCAACGTGTTGAAGTCTTTATTCAACGGCATTTTATGGGTTCAGGTTTTTTTCTGGTCCTTCCTTCTAGACCATTTGCCAGTTTTAACTTAAATTCTTTTTCACCGTCTGTGCCAACTGATTTGTCTTTTTTTGACCTCCTTTGACTATAGCCTACAGGGATTTCAAATAAGCATTTTTTTCATATTGATTCATACATCCTCTTGGCACTAAAATTGTCTTGCCTGACAAAAATTCAACAACAGCAAAAAACAAACAACAACTAGAAATCACAAAGATTGATGAATTGAATTTCAAAGACTTTATTTCAAACATAAGTTGTAAACATCGTAATCATATTTAAATACAGTTACAAAAACAACATTTTTTTTTGCAGAGCATCATCTTGTCCTTTTATCACCTTATCCCAAATATGAAACTTATTATCTATGACCATTCCAACAAAAAGGAGACACAAAATTAGAAAACAGAATGGGAATGAAGTTAACAATATGATTATTTGTATAAGAGCATTGCATATGGTGTTAATGCACATCTGTTTATTTTTTCACTGTTAATTTGAACTAGTTTAATAAATATATTTCAACAGATTGGCTTTTATAATTGAGTCTAACAAATAATAATTAATTAATAATTACAAGAGCCACCAACGGGCCAGGCAACACTCAACTTTTTACTTTTTTTTAAAAGCAAACAAATAAACAGTTTAAACAAATCTTAAAAACAAAAGTAAGTTTTTTCTTTTTTTAAGTCTAGTAACAACTGTTGTTTTGTCCAAATATGAATCGTTTCTATAAATAAATGACAATGTTAAGAAAATATAATCAAAATTCAATCTTTTGACAGTCAAGGTCATTTAAAGGTCAAGTCATATCTAAATTATTCCATGTGTCTTTTTGGTCACAAGTGTTCTTTTGTCCAAGTATGAATCAAATCCATATATAAAAAAACAAAATTATGACAACTTAACCAAAATTAAATACTTTGACTTTGATGGTCAAGATCTGATCATTTAAAGCTTAAGGTTCAACCTTTTACAATGTTTTGTCCAAAAAGTTGTTTTGTCAAAGTATGAAGATAATCCATTGATTCATTACCATGTTACAGTCAATTATTGCAAAAATCAGTGAAAATTCAATAATTTAACCTTCAAGGTCATAATCATTAAAGAGCCAAGGTCATATACATGAAGGCCTTATCCTACAGAATGTAGTGTTATAATATTAAGTCAATCCATTCATTTCAAATTGATAGCCAGTTACAGGAAAAAAATGAAAATTTCAATAATTTGACATTCAAGATCAGGGTCATTAATGAGTAAAGGTCAAGGTCTAACTGGTTAACTTGAAGGTCTTTTCTAAAAGATTAGTATGTTTAAGTTTAAAGACAATCCATTCATAAACAACAAAGTTTTGTATACCCACTAAAAGCAAAGATCAACAAAAAAAAAAAAAATTATTTGACCTTAAAGGTCGAGGTCATTTATGACTGAAGCTCAAGGTTAGTCTAGTCTACTTGAAGGTCTTGTCCAAAGAATTGTTGGGGCCCAAGTATGAAGACGAGAGGGCCATGATGGCCCTGAGTCGCTCACCAGAAACAACTGCTTTTCAGTGTTGGAATGTCAATATATTCTCATATTAAATTTGAGCATAGAAAATGTTTAAACAATAATTTGAAGAAATGCCATGACCTGGGGTATTTAAGCTTTAGCTTAAATGGGGCTAATCAAATTAATATGAGCAAACTTGATAAAAGAGTACCCAAGAATGCTACAGACAAAGTTTGGTGATTATCCATCAATTGTTTCTGAAGTAGAAGATGTTAAAAGGTTTTTCTATTTTCAGCTTTAGCGGCCCCTAAAAGGGGCCAATTAAATTAATATGAGCAAACTTGATAAAAGATTACCAAAAAATGCTACAAAGTTTGGTGATCATCTATTAATTAGTTCTGTAGGAAAAGATGTTTAAACGTGTTTCTAGTTTTAATTTTAGAGGGATCAAAAAGGGGCTAATCAAATTAATATGAGCAAACTTTATAAAAGACTACCCAATAATGCTACAGACAAAGTTTGATGATCATCCATCAATTAGTTCTGTAACAATAGACAATTAAAGGTATATATATTTTTAGCTTTAGCAGCCCCTAAAAGGGGCCAATCAAAATAATATGAGCAAACTTGATAAAAGGCTACACAACAATGCTTCAGACAAAGTTTGGTGATCATCCATCCATTAGTTCTGTAGAAATAGACATTTGAAGGTATTTCTATTTTTAGCTTAAAGGTATATCTATCTTTAGCTTTAGCAGCCCCTAAAAGGGGCCAATCAAATTCATATGAGCAGACTTGATAAAAGAGTACCCAAGAATGCTACAGACAAAGATTAGTGATCATCCATCAATTAGTTCTCTAGAAATAGACATTTAACGGTATTTTTATCTTTAGCTATAGAGACCCCTAAAAGGGGCTAGTCAAATGAATATGGGCAAACTTGATAAAAGATTATCCAAGAATACTACAGACAAAGTTTGGTGATCTTCCATCAATTAGTTCTGTAGAAATAGACATTTAAAGGTATTTCTATTTTTTGCTTTTGGGGCCCCTAAAAGGGGCCAATCAAATTCATATGAGCAAACTTGATAAAAGACTACCAAAGAATGCTACAGACAAAGTTTGGTGATCATCCATCTATTTGTTCTGTAAAAGAAGATGTTTAAAGGTTTTTTCTATTTTTAGCCCTAAAAGGGGTCAATTAAATTAATATGAGCAAACTTGATAAAAGACTACCCAAGAATGCTACAGACAAAGTTTGGTGATCATCCATCCAATAGTTCTGTAGAAGAAGAAGTTTAAAGGTTTTTCTCATTCTACTGTTACCTTTTGTTCCCATAGCCATTAAGTACCACATTTGTACACGAGGACAGACCACTGCATGACAGGCGAAATACATTCCTATTACCAATCTCCTGCCTCGCGGCAAGGGACTCATAATCTTGATAGGGTCACCTATATTTCTTATTGAACTATTTCAAATTAGGCAGATGATTTCCAACAATGCCACTGTATAAATTTACTCATCAGATCCTGTTAAAAGGACATGTTTTTTCTTTTAACATGTTTTTTCAGGAATCGGAATAATTTAAACAATTTTAGCGTCATCCAACAACCAGTTTCTGACAATTCTTTTTTTTTAAATGGTTCTCATCCGTTGCTAGGATAATTCAGTGTAGAACTAAATTCATTGATTAATTGCCAAGGAACAATGATTAAGAAGGAGTATAATTGTTTTAAGTTTGGACTCACTGTCGACGGACAGGGTGTGATCATAATAGCTCTCCACAAGCACTTCATGCTCTAGGAAGCATTCAAGCTGGGGGGGGGGTCTTCCACAGAAATCTTACTTATCAAGGAACCAGTCCATTGCTGTAGAACCAATTGTATTGGGTGTGTCATTTGGAAAATTCAATTTCTGCTCTGGAAGGCGAATAATTTTCGAATATGCTGCCAAATTTTGGAACTGTTGCAAATCATTTATTTTCTCATGGAATCCACTTTTAATGAAGCGCTTGCTTAAATCTGGACTTTTTTTAAAAAACAATCTGTGATTTAGGATTATCCATAACACAATAAATGGCCTAAAACCTGATTTTTTATCGAAATTTTCCATATCCATATACGTCATATAATTTGAAACAAGCATTATGTCATCAACAGGACAATACATGACATACTGAAAACATGATTTATCAATGTAGATTGAAGGTATTACTTTTCCTTTACTAGCGTGTCTGTTGTACTCTGTAAACGCAAACACTACAGCCTGAGCAATAACATGATTAAGGGCCTCAGCATGTTCATAATATTTCACCTCTGACTGATCACTGTCACTTAACTCCGTGGCATTGTCATTTTCTTCTTCGGATTCATCCCCTTCAGAATCTACTTCATCACCTTTCTGAATATCAGAATTACCACTTCTACTTCTGTTTTTAACAAGAACTGAGACAGAATCTCCAGTAACAAGATTTCCAGCTATAATATCCAATTCTCCATACCATGTGCTTTCAGATCCTGAAAATGAAAACTAGAGCTTTCACAAGAGTGACGAAATTTTACACTCACATTACGGCCTTGTGATGGAAAACTTGTCAACGAAAATAAGCCAATGTCAAGTTCAAATTACTTGACCTTTGAACCACTAACCTCAACATCAATAAGAGGTTCTCTACTAGTCATGATTAACATCTCTTTTGAAGTTTCATAATTGTAGGCTCAAGGGAACTCAGGTTTGCATCCCGAAACTGTTTAACTGTTGCAAACCAGTATAACCTTGACCCTTGACCTTACTGACCTAAATATCTGCTGGTCATTAACAACTACTGACTTTCTTGAACCTAGGCACAAGTTTTGTTCTTGGGCCATAATTCTGTCAAAATCCATGTTAGAGGTATGGGCGGCCTCGGAAACTGACATTCTAAATTATGCTCTCTATTTAGTAAGTGAAGTCTCAACTCATTTACAATGTTAGAAGGGCCCTTTTTCAGAAATAAGGAAACTTAAAATATTCTACAATATCATCCTTATGAAAAAATAATCCAATAAATTTTTGGTAAGAAACAAAATGTAGCATTCATCTAACAATCCACTGTGCCACATAAACAAAATTATTATTTCTACTCAAAATTTATTAAATATTAGGGCTGGGGCGAGATATCACTTTATCTTTATTGAGCACTTGTTTTTAAATATTTTTAGAAGCTATGTATAGATCTATAATGATGTGACATGTATTGAAGACTGTTTTATTTTAGGAATCCACAATTTGCTAAACGCAAGTTAATACGTCAGTGTGAGATTACATGTATTGACTGAAAAGGAGTCGCGGGAATATAAAAATCCCACCAGCAAAATTAACTTCCAATTTTTGGAAATACTTGTCTTTTCATGTGATTAGGCAAGTTCGTTGTACCACCTCTACATAAGTCAATTTGCCATGGCATGTTTTACAAACTGCTTTTTCCTCATTTTCATTGAAAGTAAATTTTGCTGGTGGAATTTTATATTGGGGCGACTCGTTTTCAACCTAGTTTATATTTGCATTGCATATATGTTTAATGAATAATTAAATAAATGTTTAGTATCGTTTTAAGAAAAATTAACATGTTTTCAGAACTAATGTTCATGTTTTTATGGGTGTCTTGATAACAAAAGATTCGTGGTTCGATTTGTGAATCGCATGTGCTGAATCGTGGATCAGATCGGATCGTCACTTACCCGACGATCCACACCCCTATTAAATATTTATAAAAATGTTACACTACCCCACCAATTTTTAACACATACTTGACCAATATTATTTCTTACTGAAATTTACTAAAATGAGTGCCTGTTTTCAAAGTTTTTCTAAAGTTTCTAAAAAAAATATTAGTTGATCTTGTAAAATATTAAATACTTTTACCGGCTAGTAATACTGAAGTTTTGATTTCATTACACTTTGAAAATATAAAGTACCATAATTATTTGTAATTAGATTTATCATTATTTAGCAGTAATACCTATATTAATTAAATTATTAAAATCAAACACTTTTTTCTTTCCAAAATTGATATCAAAGATACATAAATAATGTTATAAAAGAAAGAAAAATGACCCTTCTGGGGTTTGAACCCAGGGCTCTAAGTTTCAATGTATTCAGCAGTAGGTCTAGCCTATTTGAATACTCTTCAAAGCAGACTGAAACATACCTATCCACATATATTGAAGATCTAGAAGCTTTTCCTGACAACCACAAGGACAACGTTCTAAATTCTTCTCTCTGCTGGTGTATGCTTCTCCCATCAATTTTGAAAACAGATGAACTCCAAGACCAATTTCAAGTTCACATTCCTCTCTTGAAAGCTGCAAAACCTTTCTCAGCTTGTCTAAATTTTCTTCCTCTAGAAATGAATTTAAATGTTTCAGTGCTTTCTTTATGTTCTTGTCATTAAAATCTATCTGAAATAAAAGTATTCAAACTACTCTGATAATATGAAAAGTTAAAAAATAATACTTGAGAACAAGAGGGCTGTTATTGCCCCATATCACTCCCCTGAGTGTGAATTTAGTTGATAAATATGTGAAGATCAAGTTAAAAACTTCTACTTTACTTCTGAATGAAGTATTGTCATTCAATACAAAGACACTTACTGTCAGAAAGGCATCTAATTTTTTTTCTACTGCAGTATTACACATGGCCTAAACAACTGTTTGTTTTCAGGTATCCCAAATTTATTTACATGTAGTTAAATCCATCCATCCTTGCAAGTTTTTTTTCCAATTCATTGTTGCCTTTAACACTGTGCTATTGACCAACTGTACAATTAGTAACTTTCCATGGAATAGCAAGGGAAAGTCAGCTGTTATATAATATATCCATACTGATTGCAAATGTTCTCCCCTGAAAATTGCCCAGAACATGAAAATGTTCCATGCAGACTGCCAAAATGTAGCACTTAGGAAAATTGCGGGTCATTTAAACTCACGGAAACTTATTGTGTCACTTCCCGAAGGATTTAAAACACATTAGAAAACAAATAGTTTCAGACTAGCAATATCATGTGATCCAAGTTAAGGCATTTTAATCAACCGTTCCAACTATTTGACCTTAAGCTTGGACTATGGAGACTTTTATCATGCAATCAAGACACTTTTGACAGACACATTTCAGACATGTGGGGCCATCCTTAAAAAAATGTTTGTTTGCAGTAACCCTACCCAGAATTTTCAAGGTGGGTAGGTAGGTCGATTTTTTTTTCTTTTTTTTCTTTTTTATTTATTATTGAACTGTACTCCCAAATAAACATGGAATTTTAAAATGCTGGACAATTTATGCTTTGATAATCTGGTAACAATTAATAAATTGATAAAAGAATTCTAATTAAATAATACATACATTTTATTTCTTCTATTAACCTTTAAAAGAACAAAAACAAAGCACAAGGCATAATTTTCTGATTAAAAAAAATTTTTTTTATCCAGACCATGAAAAAAACTTTTGAGTAGGGGCAAATTTTGTGAGTAGGTCGCGTTACTGCAAACAAACATTTTTTTAAGGATGGCCTGGTCACAAAAGCTTAACTTGAGCATCTGGCACATTATTGGCACTTTATAATTATGTACATTCAGGAAATCATATTTTAGGTGGTAGTTTACCCCTGACGTCACTGCAGTAACCCACTCTGAATTCACAAGAGCACTGTTCAGCCACTGCATAGTTCCTGGGCAGGCTGTTAAGCAGTTTATCAGTACTAGTTGCCGTCACTTTTGCAAGGAACTGAATTGAATCACTCATTTCATTTGTGTACATGTGCGAAAGTATACAGTGCTAATGACTGTAAGATTATATGATCAATGGCAACAAAAGTGATCTGCACTGTCCAGGAATCAAACCTAGGTCGAACAATTCACAGTGCAACACTCTACCCATTGAGATAACATGACAGTGCTTAATAAAATCAAATTCTAAGCTGACTAAACCCTTATGGCTCAAATATAAATACAAATGTGAACATAAAATAACAAAATAATTACATATTCTGCCTCTAACTGCCCCTCTTCATCATCCTCTATTCTAGCAGGATTGTCCTCGATAGCCGACTTCCGAGGCTCGTCACTGGTACCAACAGTACCTGTTACATTAGCCTTATGTATACCAGCTTTCATGACCTTGGCTGCACTTCCAGGACAACAATTACTTTTCAATTTTCTCTTCACACTCTCTCTTCCCTGAAGAAATATTTGTTTGAGACTTTCCATTACAATGTTTGTCAAATTGACTTTAAAAGTCACCTAAATGCTTGGCTGTTGTAAGCAGAAAAATTTTAAATGAGAAAAATTCAGTAAGCAGGGCTCTCGATTGACACAGGGATCTGGGTTTTGACTCGTGAAAATCAGGAAATGCACATATTTAACACATATTTAACACATGATAAAATCTGCACAAGAGAAATTTTCCACATGGGAATTTTCAGCTATGCATAAATAATTACCTTCAGCTAACCCTAGTTACCTATCAAATCCTAACATATCTTCAAATCACACTCATTAAAAATGTAAACAGGCAGTTTAAGTTGTGTATTATTAAAAGTGCTTTACACACAGCATGTTTATAGCCTGTGCACTGAAGCACAACATCAGCGGATGCAATTTGACAGCGCTAAAAAGTTGCTTCCAGTTTTATCAACATTATCATGATTATGTTCCAAATTTATTCCTGTAATATACTCAATAATGAATGAATATCTTTATATATATCAAACAATTTTCAAATATAAACAAGGTCTGTTTGAATATCGGCAGAATTTTAAACACTTCATTACCACAATGGCAAATTGAAATTTAAAACGCTGTTATTTGAAACAAGAGCCACCAGTGATCCCATGTGTTGTCTCATGATAGACAATTGCATGTTGCAGCTTCTTTGTAGCAAGAGACACAAAAATCATTAGCACGGCCAAATTATATGTTTTTCTTCAAGGGCCAAAAATCATTTCAACTGTACAACCTGCGTAATATGCACAAGTACTTAAGCTACCAATCAGTCCTAAAAAGTTTCACAGACATTGTATAAGTGGTAAAAGAGGAGAAGTGGGAACAAATTTTAGAAATTAAAATCATTAATGGAACTCCACTGACCAAATTAACAAAATTTGAAATTCTTTCTTAAATCAACTTGTACACTTACTAAGTGAACGAATGATCTGAAACTTTGTACACATACATCTAGTTATACAAAAATCTTGAAAAAATATTTTCAGTCCCTTCACATAAAACCTTAGTGGAGTCCCTACAAAGGGCTACAACTCTGAAAAAAATCAATGAAACTGAAAAATATTGATAAGATGCACAACTAGACTTAGCATTGATCATTCTTGTACAGTTTTGATGAAATTTCACCAGTAGTTTCAGATGAGCAGTCAAGACAAGCTTCTGTGTAGCTTGCAACACAAATAATTTTAACCCTTTTTATTCAAGGGCCATAACTTGGCCAAAAATTGTATTATGCACAAAAATTCTGAATGGCACTTTTAAAACGGAATATAAATATGAATGATTATTTTAACCTACTTCCCGTTCATAGGCTTTGCCTTATTTCATACAACAATAAAGATCTTTTTGAGGCTTTGCCTTCTTCATACGGGGAAGTTGGCGGCCCCGGGCTTTGGCTTGCCTGACTAAAGACTACACGTGTATGTTTATAAAGAAAAAAAATATAGAATTCTTTACCTATCAGTAAAATTTTCAGTGTCATTTCTTGTTGGGAGCCGTAAAGCAATGATAAAGGGCAGAGTTATCCTAAAATTGACAAATCACAACTTTTTCGACCTACAAGATAGCGATAAAAGCCGAGGAATTATGGGCAGCCATCTTGGATGGGAACCATAAGATGGGAAAACCAGAACAAACAGAAGCAGTGTATAAAATACCGAATGCCACTTTAAAAATGGAAAATAACATGAGCCGGTTGAACCGGGTGATGCTCCCGGACTAGGTTTTGGTCACAGAAAAGTATATCTTTTGTAGTTTTAGAGTTATGTCCCGACAAAGTTCAAAGTGTGATAATTACAAACTAAGGCAAGGCATAGTTACTGTTCTTTGCGCAGCACTTCTACTCATTTAGATCTATCTACCGACTTGCCAGCGAACTGTCTTTTCAATATGGTGATCATTTCTGTGAAATAGTTGTAAAATCCGACTTCAAATAACAGAGTTATGGGCCGAACACAATTTTACTGCAAGGTCATACTGTGACCTTGCCTTCAAGGTAGCAACCCAAATGTTGCACCCGACACATCATCTAGATATGGTGATCATTTCTGTGAAATAGTTGTAAAATCCGACTTCAGATTACAAAGTTTTGGGCAGGACATTATTTTGCTGCAAGGTCATGCTGTGACCTCAACCTTCAAGGAAGCGACTCAAATGTTGCGCATAACAAGTCGTCTCAATCTGGTGATTATTTCTGTGAAATAGTTGTAAAATTCAACTTCAAATAATGAAGTTATCGGCCAGACACGATTTTGCTGCAAGGTCTAATGTGACCTTGACCTTCAAGGTAGCTCCCAAATGTCGCGCGCGACACAATGTCTTAATATGGTGATCGTTTCTGTGAAATAGTTGTAAAATCCGACTTCAAGTAACAAAGTTATGGGCCAGACACGATTTTCCTGTAAGGCCATGCTGTGACCTTAACCTTCAAGGTAGCGACCCAAATGTTGCGCACCACACATAGTCTCAATTTTTGGACCCACGTAGCAAAGACAAACAGACAAACATCATGAGCATAAAACTTAACCAATCTACACATTTTAACTAACTCGAACACCAGATTTTGTGGCTTGTATGGTGTCATCTGAATGGAATGTTAGTTTGAAGTGTCCAATAAACCTACTATATCTATCAATGTTTGTACCTTAATTGGTTTAAGAAACTCCTTCAATGGCTTTCCATAACCAGTTGGAAGTCCCAAACTCCTGACCGCTTCTTTGTCACTTACGCGGTTTACTTTTGCCAGATCAGTAAATGGCAAGGGGATGGATGCAAGGTAATCAAAACAATAAACATTCAATTTAAGAGTTAAATTATTTAAAAATATTTCAACGTCCTGTTCGTCCATATTTTTATTTTTTAAACTTTTCCAAAATTAACGCAAATGTCTTTTACCGGAAGCACCGGCGGATGCTAGTCCCTATACAGTACCGTAGCCGTACCGTATTAGACCTTGCATTTTAGGTCAGACTCACATATTGAATTTCCCATAGACCTACATTATGAGAAATCTGCCATAATCCTACCTTAACATTGAGTTTTCATACTGAAGAGGTGATTTTGAAAGAGAATGCGAATGGAATGCCTGACACATAAAAATGATCTTGTTGTAATCACAAATGGGTAGCCAACCAAATTATTTTTGCAGAATTACTTCAAAGAGAATTAACTCCCTTTTCATTGAAATTTTCTGCTGATCACACTAATAAATGCAATTATCCAAGTCACAAACTATCATAGAGACTTATGAAATATTTCTTTTTCTCTTGAGTGTTAGTTTCTCAATTTGTTTTTATACTTAATTGAATCCTGCGGTTTTCCCTGCCTTTTTTTTCCAACCAATCGCTGGCCAAGTCATAATACGAAAATCTGGCCTGTTTATTGTCAAAAAATGCTTTCAGCCTGTCAATTTCAAATTCTAGGCCTGTGAGAGACATTTGACATATATAAAAATGACTTTATTTTGAATTTAACCAAATGAGTCAAAATCACAAAAATCAAACTTGGGAACATGTACTTAGATGTAAAGAAAAATAAAAAGTTTCAAGATTCAAGTCATATTTTATATAATATGTGCGATTGATGACTGCATATTTTGACCACTTTTTGGTACTTTACGTGGTTTGTAAGCTTACGTGCCATTGATTATGTGTTAATTGCTTCCTTTTGGTTACTTCACAATAATACACATTAAAATACATTTTCAAAATTTTTATGAAAAATAGGTGGGGGGAAAATCCCGGGATCCGGAAATCTGGAGGCGTGCTGCTTTAATAATGATCTGATACGGACTGACATCGTAAACCATGTAGGGTTATATTGGAGAAGCGTTGCTCCCCTTCCTCATCATCATCATAATCATTATTATCATCACAGCCAACAAAATAAACACAACCATTATCACTACCACCACCACTATAGGCCCTGTGATTTCTGACAAGAAAGTCGTTTAAGTTTTCGTTATTGTTTTCCATGGCAACTAGAGTTCAACAAATATATACAATGTAGAAACCAGAGCATTCCGATTTTTTTAAAAAAAGCTTCAAAATGGTCGATGTTTATGTTGAAAATAGATTAGTTTGCCGTTTAAAGCATTTAAGATCGATACACACTAATGTAAATGGCAAAAATAAAATCAAAATATCTAGCAAAACTGTGTTTATAGCAAGCTGCTTGCAAAGTGAGCTTTACGGTAACGCGAGTACCTGCAGCTGCCTGCTAGATAGTGATGGGTTTGAAAATTTTCGCAGGAAGTACTGCAAAATTATTGGAAATAGACCAATCGCAACTTTTCGAATTACAAGAAAACGATAAAAGCCGAGGAACTCTGGTTGAAAACGGACGCGTAGATTGGTCTCCTGTGCACATCTATGGGAAACATCAATAGGACATAGAACCAGAATAAATGGAATCAGTGTATAAAATACCGAATGGCAATTTTAAAACGGAACATGTAAATGGAAATGAACGATTATTTTAACCGACTTCCCCGTTCATAGGCTTTGCCAAATTTCATATTACCCGAACTATAAGTTAAATTGTCCTATTATGGTTCCCATCTATCTTCTCTGACGGGTTGATTGAATTAAAATATCATATAAAGCATGAAATGACCATTTATAGTGTGTCGAGTGCGGCCGAAACTGTGCAGTTCTAAGTGAAGTGATAACATAAAATATGTAGCCGCCCGATGTGTTTAAATTAAAATGTATTTTAATTTCTGTCAAAGAGCTCGCTTTGGAGGGCTGTGCCTTATTCATATTTTATCGCTCGGATATCATTACAATGTACTCGAGGAATAAGATATAATGGCTTTATTTGTTTGTTTCTGTGTAAGATGAATTTTTTTTCATCGAGTGACTTTCAAAGAGTTACTTACTAGTTTCAAAAATAAAACATGTAAAAACAAGCATAAATATATTCAAAGAACAGATTTTATCCGATAAGATATTTTGGAATATATTATTACAGCAAAGGTGAAACGTGCCCACATTATTTCTGAACATTATGGTCTGGCAATTATCTTGTTTCTTATCTTTTATGCAAACAAGAGGAGATAATGCATAGACTGAGCTCTTTTAACACGAACTAATGCTAAAAGAAAAGTAAACGTCAGAAATATGCCAGTCGTCAATATCGAAGAAGTATATGTATAACATGTACATGTACTCCGTATTTAATGTTTTTATTATTTATCTTGTTAATTACGTTTTAAAACACATAAATACGTGTTGTTGTTTTGTTTTTGTTGTTGTTGTTTTTGTTCTTTCTATACGAAAAAAGAATAATCATTATATATAGCATGAACTCCTTATGTATTTTTTTATTATTCATTTTGTTAATTACATTTTGAAAAACTTAAATACATTTTTTCCTATACGAAAAAATTAGTCTAGTCTTATATAGTTTAAGGACCATGTCTGTGTTCACAATGGCACTGTCCATCGATGCAATGAAGAATAGGCTGTCCAGAGGCGTCCATGCGGCAATGACGTTCTCCAATTCCGGTACAATCTGTTTTTAGACTACATGCTTGATCTATAAATAGATTAAGTTTTATTGGATTAATAAAAAATGCTTGAAGTACGTTTTTTTGTTTGTCTGTAGTTATTTATCACCGAAGTCACAATCTTATCACCTGAAGTCATAAACGTATCACCGGAAGTCATAAACGTATCACCGGAAGTCATAAATGTATCACCGGAAGTCATAAATATTTCACCGGAAGTCATAATCATATCAACAGAAATCATATCGCCGAATTTTATTAATATAAATGTATTTTTTTGAAAGTCATGAATTCTCTATATGGCATAATAACTAATATCTACTCCTATATTTAGCACTTCTATCAGCACGAATGAAAGTCTTAAAATGGTACCACGTTTTAAAGTCAAAACTGGATTGTGTGAAGTCTGTACAGGTTCTACAATGATGCCTCGCCAACTTTTATTTTCATTTTGATATTCGTGAAAAGTGATACTGGACATTTTCAAAAATTGAAGCTAGAAAAGGCCATTGTGTCTCAACCATGTTATCATGTTACCATGTTTATTACTTCTAAACTTTTAATTTTTCGTATTTATTTACAGCTTCCAAAAAGTACTCATTTGCCACATGAAACTAACGTTTTGCTTCTTTTGCTCTGTTGGCATTTGGTAAAATTATTTTTAATTAGTATTCTATATGGAAGTCAAAATACTACTCTGTTAACATGTTTACATTTTGCTACCTTTACATGGCTATTCACTACGGAATGCCGTTAGGGCCATTGCCTATGATTGTGTTGATCTGAAACGCGATAGTCGATAGTACGATGGTGAAAACGCGAAATCACGAAACTACGATGGTGAAAACGCGAAAGCACGATGATGAAAACGCGAAAGTACGATGATGAAAACGCGACAGTACGATACTACGATGATGAAAACGCGATAAACTATCGTGTTTTCACCATCGTACTGTCGCGTTTTCACCATCGTAGTTTCGTGATTTCGCGTTTTCATCATCGTACTGTCGTGTTTTCATCATCGTACTATCGCGTTTTCACCATCGTACTATCGCGTTTTCATCATCGTACTGTCGTGTTTTCATCATCGTACTATCGCGTTTTCACCATCGTACTGTCGTGTTTTCATCATCGTACTATCGCGTTTTCATCATCGTACTATCGCGTTTTCATCATCGTACTATCGCGTTTTCACCATCGTAGTTTCGTGATTTCGTGTTTTCACCATCGTACTATCGACTATCGCGTTTCAGATTAACACATTCATAGGCGATGGCCCTAACGGCATTCCGGAATGCCGTTAGGGCCATCGCCTATGAATGGTTTGATCTGAAACGCGATACTCGACAGTACGATGATGAAAACGCGAAATCACGAAACTACGATGGTGAAAACGCGACAGTACGATGGTGAAAACACGATAGTTTATCGCGTTTTCATCATCGTAGTATCGTACTGTCGCGTTTTCATCATCGTACTATCGCGTTTTCATCATCGTGCTTTCGCGTTTTCACCATCGTAGTTTCGTGATTTCGCGTTTTCACCATCGTACTATCGACTATCGCGTTTTAGATCAACACATTCATAGGCGATGGCCCTAACGGCATTCCGTAATTCACTGCACGTTTAGCTCTACTTCCGTAAGTTATTTAACATCTAACATTCTCTAAATCCATTATTACTAAACACATGTTTCACCTTTCTTGATTTCTGAGGCATAATGTGACTTAATGAAATTTAGCACTTTAGAGGTTAAAAAGCTATTATGTTCTTACGTGAATGTACTGTTAAGCATGTACACAGATTGTCGACGCAATGCACGGTAGAGTTGACACACATTGTTGCCTTACATGCGCCGGAAGATGACGTGCAGCTCTCGCTTGCCACGTACACTGAAAATAACAACAACAATTCTTAATAATACCGTTGAAAATTTTGTAAGCATTAAAAAGTTTGTATTAAACTTAGTTAGAATCAGAGACATTATTTGTAATTGATTAATACCCACAGATTTAATACTTATTGCAATATAACCTGATGTAAATAAGGCTGACAATAAAGAAAGTCACGATTAATCTTAAAGGGACTCGACTGAGTTTTTTTTACAAGAAGTGACTGAACATATTTTTTTAGATTAATGTTCCATTTGATCAACAAACTTTTGTGTAAAGATTTAGATCATTAGCTCACTCCTTTTTCCAGATTGATTATTATAATTGTTAGAAATGGCAAAAAAGCGATACAACACTTTTCACTCAAATCGGACTAAGAATAGCGCAAATTTCTTAATTATTTCCCTTTTTAGTGCCCCAGATACTTGTAATCTATGCAAGAAATTCAAATTAAATGTTTTAGGCTTTTGAACTTCAGTTGAGTTCCTTTAAAGAATTTAAGCTTTTTGTGGGAAATTCAATTATGTTCCTTATTTGAAACTTTATCTTTATTTTTATGAAATTTTGTTTTAAATACTACGTGATTCATACAATTTATTTCAATTTTGTTTGTTTTGTTTGATAATTAACAGTATTTGTAACATTCACATGTATTAATGAATGAAAGAATGAATGGATGAATGAATGAATGAGTGAGTGAGTGAGTGAGTGAGTGAGTGAGTGAATGAATGAATGAATGAATGAGTGAGTGAGTGAGTGAGTGAGTGAGTGAGTGAGTGAATGAGTGAATGAGTGAATGAGTGAGTGAACGAGTGAGCGAGCGAGCGAGCGAGCGATCGAACGAACGAATGAATGAATGAATGAAAATGTTGTCGTTTACAAATATTTATGCATCTTAACAGTTAAAAAGACACTATGTCCATCCAACTGTTAATAATGAGTACACGAGTAACAGTCAAAATTACTGTAAATTTTGCCATAATTGTGACCAATTTTTTTGATTTTACTATGCGAGACTCGATAAAATTTCCGAAACAATCATTCGTGATGTATCGGTAGCGTTAAAGTTTTATAAGAGTGGGACAGTCTTTTTTGTAATTTAGATAGTTTTTACATTTGATCCTAAACATTTTTGATTATTAATTATTGGTCAGCACAATTATAAAAATCAATTTTTTGAAATTCATTACTAATTCGGCTCAACTTTAAATGTCACTTTAATATTGTCACTTAAAGATTTTAAACATCGAACTTATATATTACGGTTAAACAAAAACATTTCTTTGGCAATCTTATCGTATAGAAAAATAATCATCTGTCTGTTAACACAGAACACTTTAATTTGGCTTCCCTGACAAGTCCAGATGTTATTAATAAATGTTTACATAAACTGTTAATGCATTTTACTTAACTTTGAAACACTACTTACCAAAGACACACGCCATCAAAACAACAGCTATTTTCATCTTGTATGCTATGATGTCTTCCAAATTGATACTGACTTTTATCCTTCCGTTAGATCGCAATTTATATTGTAAAAGATCATGTTCAAGATTGGAGATAAAGTTTCGCAATTATCACATTTACCATATAGGGAAAAGAAAGTCACATTTTGACTTTAATCTGTCACGATTTATTTGTCGGTGAATTTGGTTTTGGGAATATGTGATGATGGAACAAGCAAGAATGGCATTGGTCAGGAATTTATAAATGAGTGTCATTTACTTATGTTTATATTATCATGACTATCGTATTTAATAATAATTGTAAATTGTCAAAGGCATATTACATACCGATTTTGCCAAATAAACTTATATGAACCGCGTCACGACAAAACCAACATAGTGGGTTTGCGACCAGCATGGATCCAGACTAGCCTGGGCATCAGCGCAGTCTGATCAGGATCCATGCTGTTCGCTTACCAACTCTATTACAAGTAGAGAAACTGATAGCGAACAGCATGGATCCTGATCAGACTGCGCGGATGCGCAGGCTGGTCTGGATCCATGCTGGTCGCAAACGTATTATGTTGGTTTTGTCGTGACGAGGCTTATATAAAGTTGTATTTGTTTGACTTAATAGTATACATTGTACCCGGTATATATATTGTTTAAATTTTGAATTACTTGTAGAGGTATGTATAAATAAAACATATCATTTTTCATTAAAGCAACTCCACTGACATAACTTGAAATGATGGGTCTTGAAATTATTGTTCGATTTGTATACCATTTGACCATACAAAAGGACTTATTTTGACTGAAATCGGCTAAGAATCGCATAAAAAACACAGCAAAAAAATCTGTTTATTTCTTTATCATATTCTTCGTATCTTTCCATTTCAAGATTTCAAGTGCCCCAGTTGGTAGAGTAAAGACTTTCAATTTTTAAGTTTTTAATAATTTGGACATAAGTATAATCAGTCATTGTATTTACTCTTTATTATCATATAAAATTGAGCAGTAGCCACTAAATTTCTTTTCATTTATACTCACCAATGTTTCGCATTCACGTGGATGAAGCTTAAAGGAATTGCGGATCTTTTTTAAACAAGACTGCACCATACTTTATTTTGAGAAAAAACTATGATACAAACCGCAGGAATAATGTTGTCCTTCGCAAATAAGTCAAATGTACTAATACCAAGCGTATTTCTGTTTCTCATTATCACATATTTCTTTTAAATATCAATCTTTCTGGACATGAAATTTGTGTTCGTAAATATGTTCTAAAACTTCACATTTGCTGTAAGAATTTAATCTTTTGGCATCACCAGTCCTATTTTCCGAACTTCCTTCTTTTCAGGTGTTAAGATGTATTATGATTAATTTCTATTAACAATGTTTATGCTTAATTGAACAAAAATTTAAAATTGTGTATCTAAAGCTGATAATAGCTGTGCTGCTACCTGTGCTGCTACTGCTGCTGCTTATGTTACTACTTCTGCAACTGCTAATGCTGCTGCTGCTGCTACTGCTGCTGATGCTGATGATGATGACGACGAAAAAGTTAATGATTGTTGTGATGATGATGATGATGATGATGATTGCTGTTGTGATGATTATCTTCATCATCGTCATCATCATCATCGTCATCATCATCATCATTATTATCATCATCATCAGCATAATTATTATCATCATCATGATGATGATGATGATGATGATGATGATTATTATTATTATTATTATTATTGATATTATTATTATTATTATTTTTATAATCTATTTTTATTAATTATAAGTATAATATTTTTATTATCATAATAAGTATGGTTAGAATTACATGTATTCATGTTTTATTTATCATTATTTTATTTTTCCTTTTCTTTAAATTTCATTATTTTTATTCATCTATTACTATAAGATTATTATTATAACCGTTTCGTTTTTATTTTTAATTTTTTGTATCATTATATCTTGTGGTTTTTTTTCAACCAGGGTCTGTTTGAAAGTCCCTGCTTAATTCAACGTATAGTTTACAAGTAAAACACCGGTGAGTGAATGACTTATTATATTGTAGTAGAAATACTACTTTATTCAAACCGTTGTACACGACTGCAATAAAATTTGCTCAAATCTGATAAAAATCTCCGAATGTCACTCTCATATTTTATCACTTTCACAACAAATTAAAACTCCATAACGCCGACGAAAAGAGCGGATAATTTGCATAAATTAGCTATCTAATTACGCTTTTCTTCATTTATACTTTTAAATCCAACCAGTGTATTCTTGTTCAAATTAAGAATTTAGCAATACCTAAACAAAAAAGGGTGTTTTTCCCTCGTTTTGAAAAACACACGTGTGATTGTTCGATTTGTACAATATCATCTTTAGGTACGGTAACATGTCCTTACTCAACATGGCTATGAATATTGAGTTATGATTTAGAGCAGTCGTAACGCCTTCCTTGAACAAATGGAATTATTGTATGGATAAAGTGACAAAACTGTGTAAATTTTAAATCAAACTTTAGTTCAGAAAAATGATTTCTTCAATACAAATAAAGCTACTTGCTTATTTAGTGGTGATATGTATGCTCGAAGAAGGTAAATTGTTTCTTTTTTATTGATAATATGTACATACATGTATACTATAAAGTTCAGCATTTTTGGTTTCTATAAAGAGCTAATTTAATTACGAATAATTCCACTTAGGTTTTTAGACATAAAGGGGCTGAAAATACTTTTCCGAGATTTGATTTGGGTCTTTTCTAATAAATTGTGTGAACATTTTTAGCTCATTCACTCATCCTGTTTCCAGAAAAATAATTTTTATTTTGAAAAAATAGTCCAAAATGAAACGCGTTGTGTACAACGCTTTTCTCTAAAATTCAGCTAATAATCGCATATGAAATTGATTTTTAATTTCATACTGAGTACATGTATATTTCTTAATGTTATCCTTTGCATATTTTTCAATTTTATGTGTTTCAAATGTTCAAATTTTATGTTTTTATGCCTTTAAATCGCAGTCGAGTTCTTTTAATCTATGTGCGCCATCCCCCTTGTTTTGTCTGGTTACCTATATATAGAACTGAAATATTATATTCATGTATAAAGCTCGGAACCAGTGTGCAGGCTCCTACGGGGTAAACAATAAATATAGAATTGTTCTTTTAAAAAAGAAACTTTAGCTCTACTGTATTGTTTCACGATTTTTTTTCAAATACCCGGCTAAACAGCGATTCCAAGCATTTTGGAAATGCTATAATACATGTACTTGTAACAACTCTATGTAAATGTTAAGGTATGTTAATTTAACAGTTGATACGGCTGCGCCTGTGTTTACATTCCCGACGGTAAATGTCGACTTGCCTGAAAATCTCATTGTCGGCGGACCAGTAACTACGCTCAGTGCCGACGACGCCGACGGCGATAGAATAGACTACTTTCTGGTCTCTATAAGTCCAAGAGATTCTGGGGAATTATTCAACATTGCTGTAACTGGAGAAATAACAACGAAGGGAGCCTTAGATTACGAAACCGATCAAGAATTTATCTTAGTTGTAAGGTATGAATTATAAGTAAATCTTTTATCTATTCCGTATATCTTTAATACCTTTATACGTTTATTATGTATTTTTAATTATGTGTACTTCATTTTTGTATCATTTTCTTATTCAATGTACGTTTAATTTGTATACATTTACTAAAAACATTATTAATTTCAAATATTTGAAACTTTTAATTTTGCATAAATACATTTTACTTTAATAAGTTATATATGGATTTATCTTGTTTACCGGTACTCAGATTATTGAACATTTTTTCAGAGCGTCTGCGAATGACGAGCAAGCCGAGCAGACTATATATATTCATGTACTTAATGTGAACGAAGCACCAGAATTTGAAGGCAACCTTCTGGGAGCTACAGTCAACAATTACGCCTCTGCCGGTAATTTTCCATATATTTTTTCGACGCATATCAGTTCAAGAAAAAGGGATATCCACAATCTTGTTAAGGGCATATACCTCTAACCAGAACAATGTTAGTTTATCTATAAGGCAAATGAGTGTTTCCTTTGGAAACTGTAACAAGATATCAAAACTAAAATAAAAATAATACCATTTCTGAGGCATAATGAACCTATAACTAAGATATACTTATTAAATTGGGTTGGTCCATATTGAAAGGTCAGTAATACCAGGTTAATATACGTACCTGTAATACCATAATCATTTGTATTGAACTATTTATAGTATTTATTATTATACGAGAAAACTACCCACGCAAGAATTATAAATAAAAGCTGTTCATAAGTGTTAGATATATGATCTGATAGTTACATATCTTTATATGGCAGTCTAAAACAAAATATTGTTTTTCGACAAATTTATGCTCATATTAAATCACTTAGTGCTCATACTAAATCACTTAAAATTAAATCAACATCTTATTTCAAATAAATATTTAGTAGGCATATCCGAACTATATATTTCTACATATATTATTGTTTTTAATCAATATTGGAAATTGTGCCCATAGTATAGACCAATCCACTTTAATGTGGACTTCAACTTTTATAAAATTTAATTTGTTATTTTTAGACAAATCGTTTCATATTATTATCAAAACAAACGAATTAAATGTGGTTGATAAAAAAAGAATCGATCAGGAAACCCCTCGATACCTCCAATCTACAGATTCGCTCTATATATGGAAATCAGTTTTTTCCCCAATAAAATATAAAACTGAAGGCCGCTTTAATATGAATGTAGTAGATTTATCATAATTTGCAATTGAACTATGAAGTTCCTTATACGACAGTTAAAACCATCTCCAATTTGATTAAAATCAGCTCCTAATTAACGCTACATTCTACATGCTGAGCTTTAAATTGTCATATTGGACGAACATGTATTATTTAAATTATTTATGTTATAATATGATACGGTAATAAAATACTGACGTCATGAACATACGATTACGTCTTTTATTTTCCAGGGTCACATGTGGCATATACAACAGCCTTCGACCCGGACAGGACTACCGATATCTTATATGCGGTAACAGGTAACATTCTTTATTCACAATGTAACCTTAAACCGTCTGTATTTCTTAAATGAACTTGTCCAGCTTCAGATTTAGAACTGTTCATTATTAACTTTTGGGGATATTTATATAAAAAATTAAATTAAGTTAAAGCTGCATGTCACCAGATGGCCCAAAAGATTTCAAGAAAACCAACATTGAGAAAAATATACTAAGATTTAGAAAATGGTAAAATATACACAATTCAAGAAAAAAAGTTAAAGGTTATTAATGTTAAATGACTGATTTTGCAGTATTTATCACGTTTCTAACCTAGTAAAGGCTATTTTTCTTCATATTCTGATTTATTTGTTGGTACTTTTCCTAGATTTAAAGTGTCGAATGCAATGTGTAAATTATTTTCTTTGTTCGCCTGACAATATTTTAATTTCAAACATTTAAAAATGTTTCGTGAAAATTAGCATGAATTTGGAGGTATGCTGCTTTAAAAAGATAAATAAAAAAATGATAGAGCCTAGTGAGATTGCAGATAGATATGCTAACTAGCCTGGTACTAACCTGGTGGTGGCAGAGTTAGACTAACCACTTCCGGTTCTACAGGATTTAGAATTGCTTTGATAGGATCTTAAAGAATCTTAACGTAGTTGAAAATTAATGTGTACTATAATTTTTGTATTTCAAAGCGTTTCTCTGCTAAAAGGGACGGATTGTTCTATAAGTAAACAAAGACATATCAATGGAGAAAGGCGCTTTTTTGTCGTATCCCAGCAGACCACACAAAAAACAAGTTACAAAAGTTGTGAAAAAAATGCTATTTATCAAAGTTTAGCTAAGATATTTTAAAGAAGAAGAGGAAAGCAACGTTACAACAAATTAAAACTTCAATTACAAAACAAAAAAACAAAAAAAAAAAAAAAAAAAAAGAAAAAAAACCCACACATTTCAACTCGTATTGACATTTCAGTATTCTGTAACTATTTCATTACAGATAATTTTTTCTTTCCTTTTCTTGTATGAAATCAGTGACATATTAATGTTCAAACCTAGGGGAGACCGGGGCAAGATGATCCACTTTTTAACTTTTTACCTTCTCTCTCTTTATCTATTGGGGAGTTTTTTTTCTTTGTTTCATAATAATATACATCCGTATATTGGCTTTTTGTTTTAAGTAAGCACATTTCGAAATAACTTATTTAGATACGAGAAATAATCAATTTATAAGGCCGGTCGAGTGTATCATCTTGCCCCGTGCTCGGGCAAGATGATACAGCATACGGGGCAAAATGATACAGTAAGATTAATAGCTCTCAAAAATTAGTAATTTCATTAATATAAATAATATTGCCTGCTACATATTAGATATAATCTATTAGTATTTGGACAATTCCTATACAATTTGATAGCTCAAATGAATTTTCAAAACTAAAAACATTAACAACAGTCACACAAATAAAATAATCTCCGTTCATAAAATGAAAAGTTTCAAGCTCATTTTATGCTTGTCAATTTGTCTTGAATACGTCAGAATGACGGTTAGACACTATGCTACGTGTTTAAATATACAAGTCATCATCGGATTCGCAATTCTGACAAATGTATGTCTGCGTTTTATTCAGTCCTGTGCATTCCTGATGAGCCCATTCCCTACAGCCGAAACATCGGATCCATTTTTCGCGTGGGCGAGAAAGTAGGCGCATTCAGTGTTTCGTCTAGCAAAGGTCTATCTGTAACACTACGAGGAGCATATTCGGTCTCTCCAAATACATTGACATAAAAAGGATAGACACCAGACACCTGAAAGCCACTCATGATATTGGTTGGCTTTGCAGCTAAAGGCCATGCTGTTTTGACCTGTCCAGGAATATCGTAAATAGTCATAGTGCTTCCTGGGTGATTGCGCATCCATGCATCTTGAGTTCCATTGACTACCTCTTGAAGGGCCCGAACACCGATCTGTCAAGTGGTTGCAATTTATGGCTGCAATGTGGAGGGAACGATAACATTACAATACCGTTTGACTTTGCGAAGTTTAGTGTCTCAATGCTGATATGAGAATCGTGGTTATCTAATAACAATAACACTTTCTTCTCAAGGGAAGGTTTTGCGTGCGATGCAAAATGTTTGATATAGGTCGTGAAATTCTCTCCCGTCATCCATCCGCTAGGATGAGCAGCTCCTATAGATCCGACCGGCCCGTCTCGAACAAAGTGATCGTGATAGTTCTAACTTGGAAATATAAACATAGGCGGAACTGAGTTTCCCGTTGCGCTCACAGAAGCACACATAGTAACATGTGCCCCTCTCTCGACTTATTGTCAAAAGGAAAATCTAGATAAACCTCTGTCGATTTTACATATTCGTCACCTCTTATCACAATAGGAAATATTTCTGTTAATTCTAAATTTCTGGCCTAGTTAAGGGACATGTATTAATTGTAGTAAATGATCAATGACAGTGTTTTAGATTTGAACCAGATAAGAATGTACAAAAGGTTTTTAATTTTGTCATGCTGACTGCATTCATAGATAGTCATTATTATCCTATTTCAATTATCCGCCATCTTTTTGTACAATTTTTAGTTACATGGTGACAAAAAGAAACTCGACAATGCTAAATGATGGCAACCGTAAATAACATTAAGCAATCCCCTATTTTGAAACCGCTGAAATCCTGCACATGAGCAGTGATGAAATAAAAGACCCGTCAACATTTTTAAATGTTTAATCCTGTAAATCCGGTAAAGCCGGCCGTGCACCGTATGCTTGAACCTTTTCGCCTGTGTATACAAATTATTTTTTTTTGGCCAATTCTCATAATAGAAATTACATGAAGAGTAATAAATTTTTGTCTTTTTGTAACACATGATTAAACTTCCTGGAAATTCATAAATGAATGATTTATTTCTTCAAAAATGAAGTCGCCATCGATAAGTCTTGACAATTACTGAATTAGATAACAACCGCAATAAGGGATATTGTTTTACTATTGTAGCAACATTTCAAAGTTCAATGCTCAAATATTATTATGACTGCATCACCTGGTGTTTTTATTTTCAGGAGGAAATGAAGAGGGAAAATTTGCTATTCATCAGACGACAGGGCAAGTCTCTGTTGCAGCAGGACACAAGATCAACCGGACAGAAGTTATTGCATACGCACTTACCGTAGAAGCAGCCGACAGTGGACAACCGCCAAAAACAGGAACGACAACTCTTATTATTGGCGTTTGTAACAGCTCATACAGAATAGCGACTTCCCTACCGCGAGTTTTAATTATCTTGATTTTCATTTTGTCGTCTGCACTCTAACTCTAAATACTGTATAAGAGATGACGCGAATGATGACATTGATTTTATTTCAGAAAGAACACTTGTAGTTTAATTAGTGCCTTTAGAAGTTGCATTAATATGTTTTCCTTTTCGTTTGTTAGAATTTTATTTCACTTAAGCTCAGTGGCTTTAATATCATACCAATATTTATTAAAAAGGATCGTAGAAAACATATAATTAAGTTATCACACAGCTGTCCTGATCAGGAAGAATAATTTATTAGGATATGGCAGCAGATTTTGTCTTTAAAGAAACTTACATTTAATGATTTTTTTGACAAAAAAATTACACACCAGTTGTAACTAGTAGTAACAAAGTGTAATAAGGTATTTTATCTCTCCTATTTAGTCCTGATTATCGGTTTTACAGCTCTTTATTAAAAGTCTTTAGGCTTTTTAAACTACAGAACAGGAGTTGCACAATCCAATTAAGCCTTTTTAAACTCCTTATTCCAAGTTTTAGATTTTACTTCAGACGGGTCCTCACCCGTGCCAAAACACCTTTGAAAATGTTTTCATTTTATAAAAGATTTTCGACCATGCGACCACATACATGCATCGCAGCTTACACGAAAGGAACAAAGAGTTGTTTGCCCTTTTATTTAAGGTTTAAGTTTCATTTTCTTATTGTTATTGATAAGGAGGCTAATCTTTACAGATATGTCTTGAATTGGATTTTATACAACAATAGTAACCCAAAGAAAGCGAGGCGTCAATTTATGTCCTTTTAATTTGTCTTTGAAATATTAAATTTCTTTGAAAATTTTCAGTTCAAAGATTTTTTCTTCTTTTCATTCTATGTTTATAGCAGAATTATCTTAATTTTGCAAAATATGAACGTTTCAAAAACGTATTATATTTGCACTAAATATTAGAGATATATTTCACATTGATCTAAGCTCATTCAAAACTTAAATAAATTTTATTGTACAGTTTTCAGTCTGCCTTTATTTCTATGTAACTGTAACATATGTCTTTAAACTTGCATTTGTTATATTTTCTCAAGATGGAATACTTATCAGTGTAATAGGCAAGAAGGAACACTTTTAATGAAACACAGTAAACATAATTCAAATCCGAAGGTGTCCATTAATTCAAGCCATTTCACCTTACCCGAATTATAACGAATAACCCTACGTCTTTTAACTCAACAGTGAGTCTTATGACATATTTCTTACATACGTCTTACATACATTGGAAAATTTAGTCGTAGTGAATCTTGTATTGTCCTGTAACTGCGAATCAATCAAATACTTTTTTGATGCAATTTTCACATAAGTTTACATGTGATATTTATTTCACAAATTATTGTTTACAGCCCCAATTGTAGATAAAGGTTTAATCAAAATACTAAATGAAAGAGTGAGCTTGGTTTTTTGTCAGATTGTTAGCAAATTTTAGAGCATTTTCGTCACCAAAGTCACCCTCGGGAATACATTTGTTCCCTGCAACGGCAGCATTTCACTTCGAATGACTATAACATTCCTAAGAAAAGACACACTTTCTATGGTTGATATTTTGCATACGTGAGCATAAGTAATAGATATACCATTGCTGCGTTGACGATTTCTGGGTTTGCGTAAACTATACCATAATCACGTGACCTTTCTTATGCCTTAACCTAACGAGACGAAGTCGAGTGAGGTTGCATAAGAAAGGTCACGTGATTATGGTATAATTTACGCAAACCCAGAAATCGTCAACGCACCAATGGTGTATCTGTTTTAACCTATAGCTCCACCCAGAAACACTTAGTCCTTCGATCTTCAAAACTGAAAATTAAACCATAGTCTGGGTATGGAATAATTTACGTTTATTGGAAATTATACTTGGAAGAATTTTACATTAGAAGCGCTGAAGAGCTATAGGTTAATTGATGATTGCATCAATGAAATTTGTAAAACTGTAATCTGAGTGTGACCTTTAAAACCTTTAATACCGATAAAACTACAATAAAAACATGCTGGTAGGTCAAAGACCGACAGAAAATGTAAACGAATTCTGGTCTAAGATTTAAATTGTATTTGATCGTTCTTGAATAAACTTCACGGTGTGTTAGAACCATCTTAACCTATAGCTCTTCAGCGCATCTTATGTAAAATTCTTCCAAGTATAATTTCCAATAACCGTAGATTATACCATACCCAGACTATTGTATAATTTTCACTTTTGAAGATCGAAGGACTAAGTGTTTCTGGGCGGAGCTATAGGTTAAAACAGATACACCATTGGTGCGTTGACGATTTCTGGGTTTGCGTAAATTATACCATAAGCACGTGACCTTTCTTATGCAACCTCATTCGACTTCGTCTCGTGAGGTTAAAGCATAAGAAAGGTCACGTGATTGTGGTATAATTTATGCAAACCCAGAAATCGTCAACGCAGCAATGGTACATCTATTACTTTTCAACTGTTTCTAATTGTTGCCAATTGTAGTACCGTTTTTCATTTGCACGTACCCACCTCTTAAAAACAATAGCCTTAGTTTTAAAGTATTAACTTCTAATCCCCAACAGTTTCAGTAATTGTATAAATTATCAAGACTTGTCTGAAGATCTTCTGGAAACATAGTGATCCCTCGGAAGCATTAATCACACCAAAATTACAAGATAATTGCAGACTCGGTTCGATTGAGTCTGTACATGAGGGATGATGAATACATGCAACATCCCTCACGCCCCCTAGCACCGGATTGAGAGATAATCAATCACTTAATAGCGCTTGCATCAATGATCCCGACGAACCAGAAAAATATAACAACACTGAAGTGAAGAACGGGGCAATATTTTACTGCTGCCACACAGCACTTGACACATGCTGTTTTGAAGTATAAAAAAGATTGATAAGCGTTACATTAAAGAATAAAATGGTATGCATCCTCAATGACGAATGAACCGCAGATTTGACAAGCTCGTTGTGTTCTTTCAATTCGATTTCTACCATGTCTGCCGGTTTCTATACGTAACGTGTGTGCTTACAAACGAATTCGTGTCAATAAGTGATGTAAGTTTTTCATTTTAATTTTATTAAAGTTATCATACGTAATCAATTATGACGAACTCATCCTTAATGTAAACATATAAATTAATAACAATGTTGTTATCTCTCCGACCTGCTCCATTGATGTATATACCACTTTAAAAGCCGCTGCTTGAATACAACGAGAAAATGAGAACTAATACATTGTCTTGAAAATCCCAGATGTCAGAAAACCCTTTCTGTACAAGTAAAAGTTTAACTTTACTGGCCCAAATTGCTCATGTAACCATTTAAACATTTCTTCATCGATTCGTTATACACGTATCTAATTGTAATGTTATCCATAATCAAGGGATGAAGCCAAAATTATATAATTTGAAAATATCTTGTTATATACCGTGCTTATTCCCCCATAAACTGCTGCATTACTAATGTTTTGTTCAACTCCCAAATTGCAAAAACTCAAATGTAAACTAAAGTTTACCAATTTAAGTCATTGACTTGGTGTACTTTTATTTACATTACTGGTCATCATATATGCATCATTGTTATTAAATAAATGTTATGGAATACGATTCCCCAGAAAAATGTTTCAACAATGAATTTAATATTAAAAAATTTAATGAATGTGTAATGAATGTATTCATTCTCAACAATTTTGTATCGAATGACAATTGTTAAAATGAAATAGAAAACTTTAATTCCTATTATATATTAGAATTAAAGAGAAACAAAGTATAAATTAATTGTTTCATAATTGAATAAATGTTGGAAAGAAATCATAATAAAAGCCATTAATAAAAAGACATAAATCGCAATGCTAGATTTAGGCTAAGAATATTTAAGCAAATTTTTCAGTTACATCGGCAATTTCGTTGATAAACAGCAGGAAATATTAGTGGTTAAATATCAAATTATTAGTTCGTACGTTAATTTAGATCAGCTCTCGTATGCAGCTGGCGAATTGTATTTTTAATTGCAAGCTTTTCACACTTTTATTTCACACCTAATAAAATAGTTATATCAAATATAACTTTCAGCGTTTGGACCTCGTGATTAAAAGAGAAATCATAAATTGAATCCAATCTTATCAATTTAGTCTCATTTTCTTTTCCTGACATCAAAAAGTTCAAATGCACCACGTACCCCATACAGACTCGTTTTATTCAGATTAAAATCAAATGTATATAGTTCCACGTGAAGTCTCGTTTTCTTTTCAAGGTATAAAAATCCTGTGTACTTCATCTAGTGTTCTTTTCATTTTTGAAGAACAAAAATCCGTATCAAATCCTTATTGTATTTAACATAATAAACATCTGACAAAATATCCAAAAATGATGATGTGTAAATTAAGTTGTTATTTGACATTGTTTAGAACTATACTAATTCCATTGAATCGTACCCAGTCAGAAACGCTTTGTCAGACTCGACTAGCACATAGTTCAATATATCTTTGATAGCTGTGTACTCATCCTCCAGTTGAGAACTCAGAAATGATTGTTTCTGTTTCATTTTTGTTCAGTGATTTGACAAAAATAAGCAAATTTAATTAAAAATATATAATCCGGATAATTTCTCCTACATTCCCAATTTACTCAAAACCTATGGTTTTTGAACGAGTAGCCTGGACATTGGATCGATATATAACGTATATAAAACATCGCAAAGCAAAGACAGGTGTCAGAATTGTAGAGAAGGAGAAGTTATAATTATTGTTCATTTATAATTATTGTTTATTTGATATTTATCTAAAAACGAATTTCCGTCCTTTGAAATTTTCGTTGTACAGCTGTTGAAATCAATGAACAGAATTTTGGATTTGAAGAACAGAACAAGTTTTACTTTGTTGTAAGTGAATATATTTGAATTCTTAACAATAACTATAAGTTTCCAAACAGGTATAACAGACCCTGCTACGGAAATGTGATACTTTGATATAACAATTGAAAGATATATTTAAAATAAACACCACTTTGCACTGTTCGGGTTTAGTTAAGTATAAATATGCTGTATAAAATGATAAACAGGTTTGAAACCAGTCTATAACACGCTGTGCTTTTGTTACGGCGATTCTCATTGGTCAAACATAACATTTTTTTTCTGTAAACATTCCATCAATGACAGCAATAGTGCATTATTGCCAAACTTATAAAGACTTTTGCTTGTGTGACTGGATTGTGTCGAAGGCTGCGTTCTGTGAGCGATGACCTTTCTTCTCACTTTTTTACAACACTTATACAAGTTTTGTGTCTTCATATTAGATCAACTCGTATGGATGCAACCAAAATACTCTCTTAAATATTTGATTTTTTAACATCCTCTTGGAAAATTATTTTTTTACAATTCTCATATATTATAACATCATGTTTGTTTGTGTAATCATGCATTGTTCTTAAATAATAAAAGTATTTTCTCTTATTTGATACATTATCATATGGTATTTGTGTGTTAACATGTATAACTTTTAATGATACTGTTCTATATCTAGAAAGAAACTGCTCAATAAGTATTTAGTTTTGCTGCTGGTTAACATCTATCCTTCGCCTTTATCGGGAGGGAGTTTTACTTTCAGTGGGATGGTAAGACTCACTGGGTAAAATATGGTATACAATATCCTGTGAGGTTGCCAGTAGAATTTCTATTACTGCTATGATTGAGAAAATATTTACTTATTACTCATAACAATGTACATTATATTATATATTCTAAGTATCATATTGTATTTTGTGGTACCATGATCACGTGACGTGATAATTGTTTCATATATCTATATGCATGACGATGTACT